ATCGTCACGATTTTTCAGACATCCTATATATAAGCTCCTGCAAGACGAAGGCGGTCGGTTCGAGGTACGACGTGGCTGTGACGCGGCTGTGACTCGGCTGTGACGCAGCCATGTCGCAGCCGCGTTGCGCATTGAATCAACCGCCTTCGTCTTGCAGGAGCTTATACTCAAAACTTGCCTGGCCTCTTTGCGGGCAATTTTATCGCATGGAAGCGCGTGCATTGAACTCCGTTTTGCTCAAATTTGTTGTAGACAAATAGGCAGACTGTTGCAATCGGGCTCTAATGCATTCAGAGTTGTCACAGACCCGCCCTTCATCACCGCGTTGATGAGCGGAGCCAACGGCTTTTAACTCCTAAAATGGTTTTTTCGCTCTAGAATACATCTTTTGCAACGAAAATTGCCGATTGATTAGTTATGAGCCCCACTATTATATAACATCAAAATCTCATCGCTCTCAATTCAAGTGGACGATGCCTGCACTTTTTTAGAATGAGTTCATGTGGGAAACGTTGCAATGCAATCGAACGAAGCTATCTGAATAATATGAAAGTTCTTGACCGTTCTAAACGCATTAGATGTGCGGGTAACTTTCTTGGATGGAACTCGCTGTTTATGTCCTATATCATATTGGGGGCTTCAGACTACGCCATTACAGTCGGCTTATCTCACGGTTAGTGATGCCGCACTCCTCAAAGTACGGAGCCCCGGAGTAGCGGTTGTTTCGCGTTATCCGGCGACGAGTACGGTAGCCTAAGAATTCGCGCTACCGCAATCGCATCCGGACCTCTCCTTGCTGGCGCGAAGCCAACAAAACCGCTATATATGCGGCGGCGGCAGTGTCTATTTGCTCGTCTGCTCCCTTTCGTCTTTAATACTTTTCGCTGAGTTCACGTACTGCCGTGCCTTGAGCTTCCGCCTAGGATGTATTTAGTATCATAGACGCGATGGGTGGAGAAATTTCTCTAAACCCCTTCACTTTAGGGCCGGCATGCTGACCCCTTTCACCTGAGGTTGAGACTAGAATCAAGGCATAACGGCAGTACCAAACAGCTGTGACAACGGCACTTTTTGTTAGGAAAGGAAACTCCAGCTGCTCTTCTCCTCAGACATCAAGGCTGCAAGAGAGTATCGAAGCAACAGCGTTTTCTTGAAAAAAAAACGCATGCTTGTGACCTTCTGCGCACTCAAAGTGGCGTTGATAACGAAACATGATCAAAAATTACAAGGATGTCTGATTCTTTGAATAATTAACATTGTATCAATGAATACGCACTGTCGCAAGAAAGAGTTGGACAAGAGTAAATCTGGACTAGCTGGTAATGGATGCATGTTTACCGACAAGAATCGTACCAAATCTCCTTTCAGTAGAGAGAATAATCACGAATAATCATCCTACTATAATAACGCGCTAAGAGTGTTTACAGTCCCTTCATTTCATATGATCATGTGTGCCATTGCACACACAGTCCACTTTGGCGTCGTCATCCTGAATTTGCACTCGCAAAAACGCAAGGAACTTACTGATTGTTATCGATTACATCAATTTGAGGTGACTAGTAACTAAAAAGGAAAGAAAATGCTAAAAACACTTTGGAAACACTTACCTGAAGGCTTGTTTTTCCTACGGATCCAGGATGGGGACCCCAATGGTGAACTGTGTGTGCCATGACACACATGATCATATGAAATGAAGCGATTGTACGTGTTTTTGTGTGTCTATCTGTGTGAATGTCTGTCACGAAATTCGTAGAACATGTTCCAGCCAACCTCCTTGGCTCAAATTTTGCACAGATGCTGCCTACCAGCATGAAAGTCCAACAAGGAAAAGCGCGAGCAGATCCGTTGAGTGGATTCCTCGGAAACTGCACGTCAAACGAATCCACTTTGTTTCTGGCCCGCAAAATTGAGTCCGTATTTCCACTATTTGCAGGGTCGTGGGCGTGTTTGGCAAGTAAATGTGCAAGTCACAGACTTAGGCCCAAAAAGTAATCAAAAGTCTACTACTTTACAAAGACGGCGCCAAAAAGAATGGGTTGCGCATATAGTCAATTTGCCAAGTTTTTACCCGAGCATTTGACAAGATTTTTGCACGGAGATGTAGCTCATGGTGATCAATGTTCTTATGGCGACTACCAAAACAAAAAATTCAAAATCCTATTTAAATTTGCGTTTGCTCTTCTGCAAAAAGTTTTATTTACGCAAAATCACCGATTACACATGAAAAAGCCTTCAGAATGAGTAGTTGTTTACATTTTATTCTTGATAGCCGGCATTGCGCGGTGAGTTTCAATGCCATAATCATGCGAGAGTGGTAAGGCATTTAGATAGTAGAACCAGTGCGAGCCTCTGCGAAGCAGAGGTGACGCACTGGTAACAAATAAAAGAACAGTCAGATTACTCGTCTTTCAAGCTTTCGAATCATTTATGAAAGTTCGAAAAGACCTTCTTGGTTTGAAAAGATAATTATCAAGAATTGGCTGATATCGTAGCTAGATAAAACTGCTCGTATCTCGCTTTATGGATAAGCTAGGAAAAAAGAGACGGTCTAAGTCGATTCCTCGTGTTCTTAGCTATCGAATGATATACAAAGTGTTGGTGCACAAAGCTTTCCCAGCCCAAAAAAAGTCTTGCTCTGGCGACTCATAGAAAGGAAGAGCGGGGTGGAGCAAATCAATACCAATATCTCCACCTCATTTTTGAAAAGCCACGAGTTTTTTCACCCAACAACCTATATACCTTTGAAGAGCTCACAAAACAGGGATTCGAGGTAGGCCGCCTCTTTTTCTCTAGATCCCCTCTCAAAGATGCATGGCATTTTAGCTAAAAACTGTGTGTTTTTTTGAAGAAATTATTATGCAAAGAGTGATTGAAAATGCCTTGTTGTCTAACCCTGTTACAGAGCAAGACTTCGCCAGTAGACGTAGACCGTCTCTTTTTTTTTTCTAGCTTTCCTCTTTCTTTTAGAAATGGAGCTCAAAGTAACTGCATAAAATCAGCTGATGCTGAAGCTAGATATGATTTTTTATATCTGAATTCACAGGAGGCTGGAAAAAAGAAGACGGCCTACGTCGATTCTGTATGTTCCAAGCTTTCGAATGGTATGTCGAGTGATGAAACATAAAGCTTTCCTGAGTCAAAAAAGTCCCTGTTGAATAACCTTCCAAAGCCTAAGCATTGAGAAAATCTTTATATTACACCTCTGTACCACTTATTTTCCTTCTTTTCACTTACGCTCCCCTTAGACATGTAAGCTTGCGTCAGCATTCATCTTAGGCCCTTCACTTTTCTAGGTCAGAAGTAGCCAAAACCCCCTTCAAATGCAGGGGATCCTGCTCCCCCTATCGCACCTATGTTTAGTATTGGCGGTCGAGCGCGTGCACATGAAATATTGAATTGTTTCAACGCCTTGACGTGCAAAATTAAAATTGACTCCTTATGGATATCACCGGGGGAGAGGGTCGTACCTTGCCTTGGAGCTGTAACGGCTGGCTGCGAATCGGTCGGATGAAGTCTTCAAGAATGCGTAGTCGGAAATGAGTACAGTTATGTTATTGGTAGCATCAGACGATGCGGCTCCCGCGTTCAAATTGTTTATTGTTTTGTTTTTTCTTTCATTTGTAGGTAATGGTATCTTACAAGGAAACCGTGTCAAGTCGAAGTGGCCTTTCTAGATGAGACCCATACTGCTTTGAAGAGTATTAAGCGGTGATTCCAAATCTGCTTTCCAAATCTGCCAAGCGCCTCTGGACGCCGAGTTATGACCGTTCTTCGGAACGAAAAATGAATGCAGAATTTAGGTAAAATTGATGGTTACAATCTTTCCAGCGCTCAGATAAAGCAGTGTTAAGTATTAGCACATTGAATCAAATGTATCCATTGCATAAATAGCTCTGATACTTGACACTGGACCATTTGAGCAAATTTGGGCGATTTTGCTTCAGTTTTGTGTTCAGTTTTTTGACCTGAAAAACGAGCATAACTCGGCGTCCAGAGGCGCTTGGCAGATTTGGAAAGCAGATTTGGAATCACCGATTGATGCTCTTCAAAGCAGTATGGGTCTCATCTGGAAAGGCCACTTCGACCCGACACGGTTCCCTTGTTAGTCTAGCTTTTTTTATCTTATATATAAAGCTGAACGTCTGTTTGTCTGTATGCATGTGTGTACGTATGTTCCGAATAGAAAATTCCATTCCTGAACTGATCCAGACAAACTTTGCACACATAAACTTTGGGACCGGGAGGGTGTCGTAGGCTACTTTTCGTCATCGATCGACATCGATTTTATCGATTTTTATCTGTTTTTTGTAAAGTTTGATCTAAGGGGCTGGGAGTTGGCACAGGGCGGTAATCGAGCATGCTGATTACGAATACAATGTTAGTTCTTGAAATTATCCGTTACCTTTTTTGGTTTTATCGATTTTTTTGCAAAGTTTGAGCTACGGGGCTGGGAATTGTACAGGGATAAACTAACACAGCGGGAAAAGGGAGTTGGAGTTGGTATGTAGAAGTGGGCACAGGGAAAGGTTGTACAGGGATAGGGATGGGAGCTTTTTCATAGCGTTTTGACAGGGCCGGGCGTAAGCCAGCTAGCCTAGTAAAATCATAAGACGAAGATTCATCGAAGCCGCCCCCTCACATAAATGATACTGTGAACTTTTTTCTGCATGAGGACTATAGGCTGTACCAACCAGCATCGGTTCCGCGCTGTATGCTTTGCGAGAACGCACGGTCGCATGCGACGTGCTCTCGCGCTAACAGAGTTCGCACGCTTCACCCGCATCGTCGCAAGCTGCCGCAGGCGCGACGTCGCATAACCGATGCTGGTTGGTACAGCCTATGTCTTCAGTCATTGTTACGAATGTAAGCTGTTTAATACCTTATTGTGCAAAATCTGAGAAGCAAGTTTTCTTCAACCATACGAGTAATTTTTGAGAAAAATTTCTTTTACGCACTTTACAAAAGGAATAACGCAAATGAGTGTTGCAAAAAAGAAGACAGAAGGGACATCTATTTTATTCGTTACCTTTATGCGGATACTGAATGAAGCAGTTACAACTTTTAAAAAATCAGATAAATGATAATGATTACAAGAGAAATGACAATGATTACAAGAGCATGAGCTCGAGCACAGTGACCGAGCTAGTGCTATGTATTATCGTTTGGGGGGTGGGACCCAGCGTTCAAATTCTTGATTATGTCCTCGGTTTTTTGCTTGAGATCAATGCATTCCTTCCGCAACCGTGCAAATTCTTTTAAGAGTTCATCCAGGTATTGCCCGCCACCTCTTTTTTGCTGGAATCCAGATATTCCTCATAGCTCTATCGTCAGTACTATTTTTAGCTACAATCTATAATAAGAACTGCCAAACAATATATACCAATCCATAACGCGTGGTATTTTCTAACAATGTTTTATTTTCACATTTGCTTGTGCCTAGACGTTGTTTAGGTTCAATCGAGAATCCCCTCAACCAGTTTGCCTACCTCACATATTTTTGAACATCAATTTACACTGACCTCAGTCAAGATGTCCACAGCTTCTCTCATCTTCTGCAGTAATATATCAATCTCTTCCAGTAAGTCTTGGCCTTCTTCACAGTCTTTGCAATCGGACTTTAATGTTTCCTTCTCTTGTTCCAAAGCACTGTAGCGGCTTGACACCTAAAGGGAAGGAACTGAGGGAAGCTTTACACGTAGAGGATTCAGCTGTCACAGGAAGCTTTCCAGACATAGTCTTTCTCTCTTTTCAACTCACATTCTTCTTATCCGCTGCAATTCTTTCTTCGAGAATACTAATTTCCTCTGTCAGATTTTCGTAACGCGCTCTCTCCTCTAGCTTCTGGAAATCAAGGTATCACAATAGTCTTCAAATTTTTGCGTTACTTTCAAATCTTGCTGCAGGATCACGAGTTCTTGCATCTCTCCGAGGATCTCTACCAAGGTCTCCAAAAATATGGCTACGTCCTGAAACTACGAGACAGTAATGACAGTAATAACCAGGGTCGAGCAAGAGGCTGGCACACAACCACTGGGTACGACCCCACTGCGTGTTTTTTCCTTTAAAATTCCAAATCATAGATTATGATCTGAACAAGTTCTCCAACTTCTACAAACATTATAAAACTCCCACATGCTCCAAATTATAGTATCTTGATTATATACTTACATGATCACTATGTGCGGAATTTGAGCTTGAACAACAAAAAACGAGGTGATTGTAAAGCGGGAACTCCGCCCACATTGATCCTAGACTCCTCCCACATTCTTGATTATCAGCTAAGGAGAGAGTTCAGCTGCAAGTTCTCGAAGACGTACTATTAGATTTCGAGAAATAGCAGACTCAGAAATGTCCGACAATCGAGACAATCTAATAGTTAAAGGCAGTGTCCGGGCAAAAAGTCGATTTCGAGATTTTGTGCTTACCTGGGCCTATTCGCTATGCTGAATCCGAAAATCCACATTGGAAAGCGCGAAAACGGCGAAAAAGGGGGGTGGAGGAATGAACTCCTCAATTAGACACCGCCTCCGCGGACCACTGGTCCTAACACGATGCACAACAGTAGGACGGAAGGACCAGCAGTCCGCGGCGACGGTGCCGAATTGAGGCGTTCGTTCCTCTACCCGAAAAAGGGCTCTGATGCAGGAGGAAAATCAGAAGTGGGCGGGGTCTTCCCCACCGTGAATTTCGCGGTCCCAACTTCTAGAGCGATCTTCTCGGTTCCAATTTCAAGTCATGCATTTGCACCTGGCCGATGGAGATCTCAGAACGCTAGCGGAATTGAGAAGATTGCTCCAGAAGCTGGGACCGCGAAATTCACGGTAGGGAAGACCCCGCCCACTTCTGATTTCCCTCTTGCGCTAGAGCCGTTTTTCGCCATTTTCGCGCTTTCCAATGTGGATTTTCGGATTCAGCATAGTGAATAGGCCCAGGTAAGCACAAAATCTCGAAATCGACTTTTTGCCCGGACACTGCCTTTAAAGGCAGTGTCCGGGCGTAAACTCGATTTTGAGGTTTTGTGCTTATCCGGGCCTATTCGCTACGCTGAGTCCGAGAATGCACATTGGAGAGCGAGAAAACGGCGAAAAACGGCTCTAACTCAGGAGGGAAATCAGCAGGTGGGCGGGGTTTTCCCCACTGTGAATTCACGCTCCTAACTTCCAGAGCTTCTCACTTCCGATTTTGAGTCAATTATTCGCACTTGGCCGGTAGCGATGTTAGGACTGCTCGCGGAATCGAAAAGACCGCTCCGGAAGCTGGCAGCGTGAATTCACAGTGAGGGGGGGGGGGGTGGGGAAGGACCCCGCCCACTAGCTTTTATCCTCCTGCGCTAAAGTCCTTTTTTGCCGTTTTCGCGCTTTCCAGTGTGAATTTTTGGATTCAGCTTGGCGAATAGGCCCGTGTAAGCACAAAATCTCAAAATCGAGTTTTTGCCCGGGACACTGCCTTTAAGCACAACCCATAGCGAAAATAAGGAAAACGGATTTTGGCTGGTATCTAAATCTAGAGTTTGGGCGTTATTTGAAGTGGGATCCTCCCGTCGACAACAAAGAATAGCACTTCGTTCTGACTGCAATTGATAGGGCGAACTCAGCGTCAAAACAATGCTAATTATGTTCGAGAATGGACATTTCGCATGGGTTGCCCAATACATGGAATCCTCAAAATTCGCTAAAACTTGATCCACAGGGGTTACTCGACAAGCTGATTACGAAAACTTCAATCATTATGCTTGTTAGTGGTAGTGTTGTGGTGCTCGAAAATGACAGTTTCACTTGTGCTGCCTTATATTTGGAAACAGCATAACGTACTATGCTTACTGTAAGTATAGGATAAAAGATTACTACCTTAGGGTGCTAGTATAATGAAATTATGTGACATCGTTAACGAATATCTTGTTATTGATGACATCACCTCGATTAATACCCTTCCCTTTCACCTCCCGATACGACCTCTAAGATATGGCTTGCCACACCCCACGCTTGACGCTGGCAATAAGGCTGGTAGAGAAATGTTAGCAATGAGGTTAATGTTCAACTGAGAATATGCACCTCTAACGCTTGACAAGGTTTCACCGCTGTTGTACTTGTTGTGGGAGTCATTGTAGAGCTGCTTATTTCTTCCTCACTCGTTGTTTTTGCGGCAATGCTAGTCTCGGCTGCAGAGCTAGTGAGCGTTCCCCTCGTTGTTGCTTCTGTTCCAGATGTAGAAGCTATCGGAGAGCTGCTTGTTTCTTCCACACTGGTTATTTTTGCGGCAGTGCTAGTCTCGGCTGCAGAGCTAGTGAGCGTTCCACTCGTTGTTGCTTCTGTTCCAGATGTAGAAGCTATCGGGGAGCTGCTTGTTTCTTCCTCACTGGTTGTTTTTGCGGAAGTGCTAGTCTCGGCTGCAGAGCTAGTTAGTGTCGAACCACTCGTTGTCTCCACGACAGTGCTAGTCTCGGCTGCAGAGCTAGTTAGTGTCGAACCACTCGTTGTCTCCACGGCAGTGCTAGTCTCGGCTGCAGAACTAGTTAGCGTGGAACCACTCGTTGTCTCCACGACAGTGCTAGTCTCGGCTGCAGAGCTAGTTAGTGTCGAACCACTCGTTGTCTCCACGGCAGTGCTAGTCTCGGCTGCAGAGCTAGTTAGTGTCGAACCACTCGTTGTCTCCACGGCAGTGCTAGTCTCGGCTGCAGAACTAGTTAGCGTGGAACCGCTCGTTGTCTCCACGGCAGTGCTAGTCTCGGCTGCAGAGCTAGTTAGTGTCGAACCACTCGTTGTTTCCGCGGCAGTGCTAGTCTCGGCTGCAGAGCTAGTTAGTGTCGAACCACTCGTTGTCTCCACGGCAGTGCTAGTCTCGGCTGCAGAACTAGTTAGTGTCGAACCACTCGTTGTTTCCGCGGCGGTGCTAGTCTCGGCTGCAGAGCTAGTTAGTGTCGAACCACTCGTTGTTTCTGCGGCAGTGCTAGTCTCGGCTGCAGAGCTAGTTAGCGTCGAACCACTCGTTGTCTCCACGGCAGTGCTAGTCTCGGCTGCAGAGCTAGTTAGCGTCGAACCCGTTGTTTCCGCGGCAGTGCTAGTCTCGGCTGCAGAGCTAGTTAGCGTCGAACCCGTTGTTTCCGCGGCAGTGCTAGTCTCGGCTGCAGAGCTAGTTAGTGTCGAACCACTCGTTGTCTCCACGGCAGTGCTAGTCTCGGCTGCAGAACTAGTTAGCGTGGAACCGCTCGTTGTCTCCACGGCAGTGCTAGTCTCGGCTGCAGAGCTAGTTAGTGTCGAACCACTCGTTGTCTCCACGGCAGTGCTAGTCTCGGCTGCAGAACTAGTTAGCGTGGAACCGCTCGTTGTCTCCACGGCAGTGCTAGTCTCGGCTGCAGAGCTAGTTAGTGTCGAACCACTCGTTGTTTCCGCGGCAGTGCTAGTCTCGGCTGCAGAGCTAGTTAGCGTCGAACCCGTTGTTTCCGCGGCAGTGCTAGTCTCGGCTGCAGAGCTAGTTAGTGTCGAACCACTCGTTGTCTCCACGGCAGTGCTAGTCTCGGCTGCAGAACTAGTTAGTGTCGAACCACTCGTTGTTTCCGCGGCAGTGCTAGTCTCGGCTGCAGAGATAGTTAGTGTCGAACCACTCGTTGTTTCCGCGGCAGTGCTAGTCTCGGCTGCAGAGCTAGTTAGTGTCGAACCACTCGTTGTTTCCGCGGCAGTCCTAGTCTCGGCTGCAGAGCTAGTGAGCGTTCCACTCGTTGTTGCTTCTGTTCCAGATGTAGAAGCTATCGGGGAGCTGCTTGTTTCTTCCTCACTGGTTGTTTTTGAGGCAGTGCTAGTCTCGGCTGCAGAGCTAGTTAGTGTCGAACCACTCGTTGTTTCCGCGGCAGTGCTAGTCTCGGCTGCAGAGCTAGTTAGTGTCGAACCACTCGATGTTGCTTCTGTTTTAGATGTAGAAGCTATCGGGGAGCTGCTTGTTTCTTCCTCACTGGTTGTTTTTGCGGCAGTGCTAGTCTCGCCTGCAGAGCTAGTTAGCGTCGAACCACTCGTTGTCTCCACCGCAGTGCTAGTCTCGGCTGCAGAGCTAGTTAGTGTCGAACCACTCGTTGTCTCCACGGCAGTGCTAGTCTCGGCTTCAGAGCTAGTTAGTGTCGAACCACTCGTTGTTTCCGCGGCAGTGCTAGTCTCGGCTGCAGAGCTAGTGAGCGTTCCACTCGTTGTTGCTTCTGTTCCAGATGTAGAAGCTATCGGGGAGCTGCTTGTTTCTTCCTCACTGGTTGTTTTTGAGGCAGTGCTAGTCTCGGCTGCAGAGCTAGTTAGTGTCGAACCACTCGTTGTTTCCGCGGCAGTGCTAGTCTCGGCTGCAGAGCTAGTTAGTGTCGAACCACTCGTTGTTTCCGCGGCGGTGCTAGTCTCGGCTGCAGAGCTAGTTAGTGTCGAACCACTCGTTGTTTCTGCGGCAGTGCTAGTCTCGGCTGCAGAGCTAGTTAGCGTCGAACCCGTTGTTTCCGCGGCAGTGCTAGTCTCGGCTGCAGAGCTAGTTAGTGTCGAACCACTCGTTGTTTCCGCGTCGGTGCTAGTCTCGGCTGCAGAGCTAGTTAGCGTCGAACCCGTTGTTTCCGCGGCAGTGCTAGTCTCGGCTGCAGAGCTAGTTAGTGTCGAACCACTCGTTGTCTCCACGGCAGTGCTAGTCTCGGCTGCAGAACTAGTTAGCGTGGAACCGCTCGTTGTCTCCACGGCAGTGCTAGTCTCGGCTGCAGAGCTAGTTAGTGTCGAACCACTCGTTGTTTCCGCGGCAGTGCTAGTCTCGGCTGCAGAGCTAGTTAGCGTCGAACCACTCGTTGTCTCCACGGCAGTGCTAGTCTCGGCTTCAGAGCTAGTTAGTGTCGAACCACTCGTTGTTTCCGCGGCAGTGCTAGTCTCGGCTGCAGAGCTAGTTAGTGTCGAACCACTCGTTGTCTCCACGGCAGTGCTAGTCTCGGCTGCAGAACTAGTTAGCGTGGAACCGCTCGTTGTCTCCACGGCAGTGCTAGTCTCGGCTGCAGAGCTAGTTAGTGTCGAACCACTCGTTGTTTCCGCGGCAGTGCTAGTCTCGGCTGCAGAGCTAGTTAGCGTCGAACCCGTTGTTTCCGCGGCAGTGCTAGTCTCGGCTGCAGAGCTAGTTAGCGTCGAACCCGTTGTTTCCGCGGCAGTGCTAGTCTCGGCTGCAGAGCTAGTTAGTGTCGAACCACTCGTTGTTTCCGCGGCAGTGCTAGTCTCGGCTGCAGAGATAGTTAGTGTCGAACCACTCGTTGTTTCCGCGGCAGTGCTAGTCTCGGCTGCAGAGCTAGTTAGTGTCGAACCACTCGTTGTTTCCGCGGCAGTCCTAGTCTCGGCTGCAGAGCTAGTGAGCGTTCCACTCGTTGTTGCTTCTGTACCAGATGTAGAAGCTATCGGGGAGCTGCTTGTTTCTTCCTCACTGGTTGTTTTTGAGGCAGTGCTAGTCTCGGCTGCAGAGCTAGTTAGTGTCGAACCACTCGTTGTTTCCGCGGCAGTGCTAGTCTCGGCTGCAGAGCTAGTTAGTGTCGAACCACTCGATGTTGCTTCTGTTTTAGATGTAGAAGCTATCGGGGAGCTGCTTGTTTCTTCCTCACTGGTTGTTTTTGAGGCAGTGCTAGTCTCGGCTGCAGAGCTAGTTAGTGTCGAACCACTCGTTGTTTCCGCGGCGGTGCTAGTCTCGGCTGCAGAGCTAGTTAGTGTCGAACCACTCGTTGTTTCTGCGGCAGTGCTAGTCTCGGCTGCAGAGCTAGTTAGCGTCGAACCACTCGTTGTCTCCACGGCAGTGCTAGTCTCGGCTTCAGAGCTAGTTAGTGTCGAACCACTCGTTGTTTCCGCGGCAGTGCTAGTCTCGGCTGCAGAGCTAGTGAGCGTTCCACTCGTTGTTGCTTCTGTTCCAGATGTAGAAGCTATCGGGGAGCTGCTTGTTTCTTCCTCACTGGTTGTTTTTGAGGCAGTGCTAGTCTCGGCTGCAGAGCTAGTTAGTGTCGAACCACTCGTTGTTTCCGCGGCAGTGCTAGTCTCGGCTGCAGAGCTAGTTAGTGTCGAACCACTCGATGTTGCTTCTGTTTTAGATGTAGAAGCTATCGGGGAGCTGCTTGTTTCTTCCTCACTGGTTGTTTTTGCGGCAGTGCTAGTCTCGCCTGCAGAGCTAGTTAGCGTCGAACCACTCGTTGTCTCCACCGCAGTGCTAGTCTCGGCTGCAGAGCTAGTTAGTGTCGAACCACTCGTTGTCTCCACGGCAGTGCTAGTCTCGGCTTCAGAGCTAGTTAGTGTCGAACCACTCGTTGTTTCCGCGGCAGTGCTAGTCTCGGCTGCAGAGCTAGTGAGCGTTCCACTCGTTGTTGCTTCTGTTCCAGATGTAGAAGCTATCGGGGAGCTGCTTGTTTCTTCCTCACTGGTTGTTTTTGAGGCAGTGCTAGTCTCGGCTGCAGAGCTAGTTAGTGTCGAACCACTCGTTGTTTCCGCGGCAGTGCTAGTCTCGGCTGCAGAGCTAGTTAGTGTCGAACCACTCGTTGTTTCCGCGGCGGTGCTAGTCTCGGCTGCAGAGCTAGTTAGTGTCGAACCACTCGTTGTTTCCGCGGCAGTGCTAGTCTCGGCTGCAGAGCTAGTTAGCGTCGAACCCGTTGTTTCCGCGGCAGTGCTAGTCTCGGCTGCAGAGCTAGTTAGTGTCGAACCACTCGTTGTTTCCGCGGCAGTGCTAGTCTCGGCTGCAGAGATAGTTAGTGTCGAACCACTCGTTGTTTCCGCGGCAGTGCTAGTCTCGGCTGCAGAGCTAGTTAGTGTCGAACCACTCGTTGTTTCCGCGGCAGTCCTAGTCTCGGCTGCAGAGCTAGTGAGCGTTCCACTCGTTGTTGCTTCTGTACCAGATGTAGAAGCTATCGGGGAGCTGCTTGTTTCTTCCTCACTGGTTGTTTTTGAGGCAGTGCTAGTCTCGGCTGCAGAGCTAGTTAGTGTCGAACCACTCGTTGTTTCCGCGGCAGTGCTAGTCTCGGCTGCAGAGCTAGTTAGTGTCGAACCACTCGATGTTGCTTCTGTTTTAGATGTAGAAGCTATCGGGGAGCTGCTTGTTTCTTCCTCACTGGTTGTTTTTGAGGCAGTGCTAGTCTCGGCTGCAGAGCTAGTTAGTGTCGAACCACTCGTTGTTTCCGCGGCGGTGCTAGTCTCGGCTGCAGAGCTAGTTAGTGTCGAACCACTCGTTGTTTCTGCGGCAGTGCTAGTCTCGGCTGCAGAGCTAGTTAGCGTCGAACCACTCGTTGTCTCCACGGCAGTGCTAGTCTCGGCTTCAGAGCTAGTTAGTGTCGAACCACTCGTTGTTTCCGCGGCAGTGCTAGTCTCGGCTGCAGAGCTAGTGAGCGTTCCACTCGTTGTTGCTTCTGTTCCAGATGTAGAAGCTATCGGGGAGCTGCTTGTTTCTTCCTCACTGGTTGTTTTTGAGGCAGTGCTAGTCTCGGCTGCAGAGCTAGTTAGTGTCGAACCACTCGT